AAAGCTGGACAGTGAATAAGGAAGACCATAGAATAATTGATGCCTTTGAGTTCTGGTGTTGAAGGAGAATAATTAAAGTGCCATGGGCTGCCAAAAGAACCAATAGATCCATTTTGAAAGAAGCACAGCCAAAGTGCTCCTTGGAGTTCAGCCTGGCCAAACTTTGTCTCTCATACTTCGTACATAATGTCAGGAGGGACCAGTCACTGGAGAATGATATCATGTTTGGTAAGCTGGAGGGTCAGAGAAAAAGAGAAAGACCCCCAACAAGATGGATTGGCAAAGTGACAGCATTAATGGACTAAAGTGTGGCAACAATAGTGAGATTAGCCCAGGTTTGGGCAGTGTTTTGTTCTACTATACATAAAGTCTCTATGGGTCGGTACCGACTTGGCGACACCTAACAACAACAACGATATATTAGTGGGGTTTTTTTCTATTTTAATTTCTTGTGTTTAATATATGCCTATGATGTATTATCATTTTTCTTCATTTTATGAATGAAAATTTTTGTTTTATTTCTTTATTTCTCAAAAGAAAATGTTTTGTCAGCTATTTAACAATTATTTTGTTTTCTAACTGCTTAGTAGTTTTTGAATTGGAGGTATATTCAAATTTTATTAAGAAAATATATTGACATTTATCTATGGAATTCATGCCTTTATGTTTAAGGTTTAAAAGACTTTATTAGCTAAATGAAAAGTAAATATGTACCTGTTATATTTCTAAGTTCTTGTTTCATTTATTTTTTACATGCAACTCATTCTAAATTTCATGTCACCCTATGTTTTTGCACTGTAGGATTAGCATTGGACTGTGAACCACAAGACTGGTGGTTCAAACTCACCAGTTTCTCCTCAGAAACCCTAAACAGGGTCTCTATGAGTCAGAACTGACTCAATAGCACTTAACAACAACAATTCTTCTCACGGTGTCCTGGTATAGTGCTGTAGGATAAGCACTGAACCACAAGGTTGGTTTGATCCCCAAGGCCAGAAGTTCAAACTCACCAGCTGCTTCTCAGAAAGCATACATAGCGTCGCTATTAATCAGAATGAACTTGATGGCACGTAACAACAACACTTTTCCTACATGCATAATTAAATAATCTATTATTAATTTGCAAAGTTTGCTTTGTTTTACACGATGCTTACGAATATGTGCATTCATCCTTTTATGATACCCTAATATAATAAACTGTCAGAAAATTCTACGTACAGAATTGTTTCAGTTATGTAAATTATTGGTACTGCTTTGTAAAAGTTTTAACCATTGGCATATATATAGCCATTGGCATATAGCTATTGGCATATATTTAGCTTTCCAGTTATGCTTAAAGATTACATTGTAAGGTTTCAAAACAAATTCTTTTGAGATTTATATCAAAAATACTTTAAAGGCACAATCTGAGTAGAATGAATGAACTTTAAAAACTAACATTTAGTCTTTTTTGGTTGTTGTTCATTTTAATCAGATTATTAGCATATTTCCATTTCAGTGACTTTCTTATTATCTTTAAAACAAGAATTTAAATATTTTTAATCACTATATGGTTAATGATTCATCTTATTGAGCCCCTAATTATGTTGTCTGTTGTTAAGTGTCATGAAGAAAGTGTCTGACTCATAGCGACCCTGTATAAGGTTTTATAGGTATGGCTGTCATCAAATCAAATACTAAGCCTTAACATCTATGGAGGGGATTTCAAACTAGTTCATGGAAATATATCATTCTCTTTTAGTTCCATTTTACAGGCAATTTTGTAAGCCTTCTTGGATACTATAACTTCAAACACCTTATCTGTTAAAAAAAAAAAAAAAATGTCTCATCTCAAAAGATGAGTCAAGTATTGACACAGTTTACATGAATCATACCTTGAACTGCAGCATATCATTTTTGTGATATTTCACCTCCACACGAAGATTTGAGATAGGCACAGAAGGTAGCATTATTCGAGTATTAGTGGTATTCAGTTTGAGGTCAGCTGTTACACCCGTTGATGAGTAATGGATTGCATTGACCAAATAAGGGTTATATTGCCTAGGGAAATAACACTCCGGTGCTCCTGAGTTAGAAGATATCTAAAAAACAAAATACTTGTTCACTGTCAGATATATAAGAATCATAATACAAGGAAGCTTCAAAAGTTTGTGGAAAAAATCTATTATCTCTCAATTCCATTTCCCAAGAATTTTCTGAAGTCCTCTTGTATTTGACTCTAAAAGCAAATGAAGTAGACTTATTATTAGGCACAACTATAGGCTCCAACAACTATGGGCATCCAATGAGGATGGCAGAAGACAGGTAAGATTTTGCTTTGTTATACATATGGTTATTTGAGTTAGAGCGAACTCAGTGGTTCCTAACAGCATTAAGTATAACACTGGATGATAGCCAAATTTTATTGTTTGATTATTGATTATAAAATGGAATCATAGTGACAACACAATATATTTATTATGCAATCTGAGACATCTTATACTACATACTTATAAAATATATGTGTTTTGCCCACAGACCTTATCACCACATCTACTCACCTGCCTTCCTCTTCACCTCCTCTCACAAGATAAACACTGTGTTTCTATTTCTGCTGACCCATTTCATTTGCACCCCCATTCTTATGCCTTCTTGCCTAAAAATCATCTCTTCCACAATCCTCATTTCTTTCTCCTATCTTTAATGTTTCACTCATTATGAATGATCATTAACATCATAAAAAAAAATTTGGTATTTCCCCAAACTAAAAAGAAAAAGAAACTTTCACCTCACTTATTTTTCCAATGACTGCCCTATTTCTCTGCTTTCTTTACAGCAAACAAAATAATCCTCCATAACTCTATCTACAACCAATCCCTTGATTCACACTTTAACCAGGCTTTTACCCATACCAATGTTTCTTTTGTCAGGGTTCCAAGACCCTACATGCTGCCAAATTTGAATGTCAGTTTTCAGTTTACTGATAAATAAGCATAGTTTGCACTTAGATTATTTCTTTAAATGTCTTTGTCATTTGACTTCCAGGTCTAAAAATGCCTTTTTGTTTTCAACCTACTTACTTGTCATTCTTTCCTTGTACCTCCTCATTTACTTGACAATAACAGTTAGGATTATCTAGTGTTTCCCATTTGAACCTCTTCCCTTTTCTATTTTAGCTCATTTCCTTGATGATCCTAGCCCTTCATATGGCTTTAAAAACTACATGTATGCTGACTCCATATTGTATATCTTACCTGGGATATCAAATCCTGAATTTCTTTAACTTACATACAATTTACAGTTGGACAATTGTTGTTGGATTTCTACTGGTTCACAACCTTAACTTGCTCAAAACATAACACATCACCTCTATACCTTCTCCTCCCATGGTCTTCCCAATATCAGTTAATATCAACTCCTTCCTTTTACTTGCTCAAATAAACAAACAACTTGAAGCTGTTCTGTATTCATCTCTTTCTGCTATATTTCACATGCGATGAATAAACAAACCTATTGAAGTTATCATAAAAAATATGAACAAATGAAAATGACTTCTTCCTAGTTTACTATCATCACTCTAGCTAATTTGCATGCTATTTTACCTTGATTATTATAACAAGTTCTTACCAGTTCATCTGCTTTGGTCCTTTGACAGTCTGTCATCAACACAACAGTTATTATAATTCTATATACATATAACTAGTGATGGCTGATCAAAACTATTTATTAACATACTATATCAGAGTAAAAAATATAATCTTAAAAATGACCTAACTGATCTATATTATCAGTTTCAATATGTTTATAATATCATCTCTTGTTGGTCCCCTGACTCATTCTCTTTGACATTGGTCATCTCACTGCATGTGGAATGTGCTATGTACATTCTCATTTCAGGTTCGCTTTACGTTGATATTTCTTTGCTCTAGAATATTACTCCCTTTCTTTATTTCCTTTGGATCTTTTGATAAATATCACCTTCCCAAAGAAAGCTTCCATACCCAATCTTTAAAATTACATAATTGACATCTACTCCCTCCTTTTTCTTGATTTAGTTTTCTTCATAGTACTTTAATATAGCATATGGTTTTCCTATTCAACGTTTGTTTTTCCACAATGGAATACATGTTCCATCAGGGCCATAGGTATTTATTTGTTTACTTAGAAGACTGCCTAAAGCATAATTGTTGCTGCTAAGTGTTGTCAAGTCAATTCTGACCCAAAGAGGCCCTATATAGTGTTTCTGAGGATCTGCTGGTGGGTTTGAACCATAAATCTTACAGTGAGTAGTCCAGTACTTATCCTACAGTGCCACACCAGGACCAAGATCATACTATTGTTGTTTTTAAGTGCAGTGGCCTAGGTTTTGGCTCATAGGAACCCTGTCTAGGATTTCTAAGGAGTGGCTGATTGTTTTGAACTGCTGATCTTATGGTTAGCCTTCCAGTGATTATACTAGAGAGCTGCCCCAGTATTCTCAGATCATAGTGTTGTTGTTGTTGTTGTTGTTAAGTTCCATTGAGTCAGTGGACGCACAGCAACCCTGTATAGGATTTCCAAAGAGTGGCTGGTGGATTTGAACTGCCAACCTTGTGGTTCACAGTCAGTGCAGATCTTACAGTGCCACATATTGGTTAAATGAATTAATAAAAAGTAGTGTAGTCTGAGGAAATATAAATATGCTTATACCAATACCACGTTCACTGCCATCCAGAGCTATTACTCTGTTTGAAGGATGGGCAAAATCACCACCTAGGGGAACGGATGTCACCCATTACTCAATTTCAGAAGTTTTAATTCCTTGATATAATGCTTTTGAAAGAGGCTACCTACTGAGAAAATACCTTATCTAGTTTAGATCATCAGGCATAGCTAACATTTAACAAATGCAGCAGATGGAGTATTACTTTATTCAAATGAAAGCACACTTTTCAAAGTGTGCCTGGGAAGCTACTTACTCATATAGCATGACATTTATTAAGCTATATCTTTGAATTAATAATTGAGATCAAATAAACTATCAGAGGTGCTAATTTCAAATTGTAAATGTTTCACAAATTGAATGTGCTTGATATGCTGTCTAATTAAAATTATAATATGCAAAATTTACATTCAGATGTTTATGTGAAAGTCTTATCAGAGGCATATTTAAAATTCTTATTACCTTTTCCCATAAACAGCCACGTTGTTTGCACTTTTCTTCAGTTACAGTCTCTGCATCCAGAAAACAAGCAAACTTCTCATTTTCAGAGAAAACTTGAGTCCATTGAACTTTAAAACTTTTTCCAAGATTTAACATGAGATTTTGAATTAGGAGAACCTTGAAAACAAAGTCATCATTAGACTATCTCTGCCCATTGAACAGTTTTAAAATATTTAACATTCTGTGAAATGCAGCAGCTATAGCCTTTCTCAAATCAAATAATTAATAGGTATATTCAAGTAAAATATTTTAAAAACTGAATGAAATGGGAAAAAAAGAAGAAACAAAAATGTTAATAAAATGCTAAAAGCTCAAGACTGAGAAGTATAGTAGAATTCTGAGGAAAGTATTATTTTTGCATTCAGACCTGAGTTCAATTCATCATTGTGTGATTCAATGCTCTGTGTCTTTGGGCACATTTTGTACGCTATATTATTTTCAATCCTCTTCTCTTTAAATGGGGCAAACTACTTCTACAGATAGAGGTTGCTATGCATAATGAATAAGATATGAAATTTAAAACACCTATCATAATGCTTTAAATACACTATGCATTAAATATATATTAATTCCGTCAAAGTATATACCGAGAACATAAAATGACCAAGTTTGTTTAATATGGAAACTCTTAAAGTTGGAGGAGGGTAATATCTTAGCTTCCTTCTTTCCTTCATATTATCCACTGCATAATATATTTGATGGTTAAATTGGTTTGGAGGAAAAATAATATGGCATGCAAAAATGGAAAAAATCAGAGGATAATTATGGATATATATTCTAAAATAAAATAATATTTATAATTGGTACATTGCAATGTTATGTTTGACTATTGCTTATAAACCTAGAGAATAACATGGTCAAGGTTTAATCCCAGACTTTCCCCTGGATAGTATATTTTTGGATATTCTACAACTTTACTTCTAAGAACATTCATATAAAGATCAGCCTAACAACAACAAAGCACAACAGAAATAGGAAGCTATATCTACTAGTGTCTGTGTATATATTTATTTCTGTTGTTAAGTGCCATCTAGTCAACTCAGACTCATAGTAACCCTGTGTAGGGTTTCCAAAAAGTGACTACTGGGTTGGTCCTTACTCCACAGCACTACACCAGGACCTATATATGCATGCATATAAACAGTCACAAATTGAGCTTGCACATATACCCACAAATTTTTTGTCATCCCCTCTTCATCATTGTTAGACTCATAAAGTTCTTAAAGCCTGGTTTATTTCATGTACATTGATTTCTTCTAACAGTATATATACTAGATAAAAAATATATCGTAGTGGTGGTGGTTGGGTGCCATTGGGTCAATTCCAACTCATAATGACCCTGTACAGGGATTCCAAGGCTGTAAATCTTTGTTGTTAAGTGCCAATGAGTCAGTTCCAACTCATCGAAGCCCTGTATATGGTTTTTGAAGAGCATCTGGTGAGAAACTGTGAAACTCCAAATGCTGACCTTGCAGTCAGTAGCCCAACATGTAATCTACTATGCTACTGAGACTCCTCAAAAATACATATATTCCTGAAATTTGCTAAGTGAAAGGGATTAGGATTGGGACAGATTGAGGAAAAATACTATAAGGTACAACTCTATAGATCAAATAATTTTAAATTTAGATAAACACTGGACTGCTAACCTTAAGGTAGGCAGTTCAAACCTACCACTTCTTGGAAGCCATAAACAGGATCATTATGAGTCAGAACTGACTCAATAGCACTTAACAACAATAATGATATGTTTAAATTTAGTTTTATACAAATGGTAGAAAAGTAAATGCTAATAAAAATACCCTACTTTTCTAAGTTGTTATTTGAAATACATTTTTCACATTAAGTAAAACAACACTGAATTAAATATTACATTTATAGATGAGGGACTAAAGATCAATTTAATGCATTTAAACATACAGGTACAAGGACTAGGATTAGAGCATATTTTTGAGACTCCTTTTCTTATTCTACTAGATGTTTTAAAAGAGATTAGCTATGGAAGGCATTTTTTCTGGAAAGGAAGCTTGAAAGCAAAACCATGAAATCAGAAAAGAGCTGGACAATGAGAGTTGGGGAGCATGGAGAATGATCAAATAAGTTAATTTAAGTAATGTTTTAAAATCTTAAATGAGATGATAAAATATTTGAAATCTATATTCCATGTAACAGGTAAGTAAATCAGAATTCCAAATGGAAGAACGGGTTGGAACTAGGAAGCCAACTATAAGTGATTTCTAAAATAAAATGAAATACAGAGTGAGCAGTGGCAAGGATAAACCTTAATGCTGATGTTGTTGTTCTTGTTAAGTGTTGTCAAGAAAGTTCTAACTCATAGTGAACCTGTATAGGATTTTTTAGGAGTGGCTACTAAGTTTGAACCACCAACCTTGTGTTTAGGAGTCCAATGCTTATTGTACAGTTCCACACCAGAATTCCTTAATACTGATATCTAATTATAAATTGAAATAACTTAAACTGGAATATTGGCTATAAAGTGGTTAGAAAGACTAGATGCATGTGAAAAAATATCACAAAGTACCTGAGTAGTTATATAACATTAAATGTGAGAATATACGCTGGTTACAATATTTTAAAACATTTAATTTACCTGGTTGGAAGCATCATAAGTAAAATTTGGATGAGAAGTCAGTGCTTGATCAATTTCTGCCACACTAACTTGTGTAACAGAATCTGTCAACCCAAGGATTTTTATAGTCTCAAATGCTAAAGTGGTTCCTTCCTGGTATGTTGAATGATTGCATACAATATCCAAATTGTTCTGCAAAAAAAAAATCATATGTTAAGTAGAATGTCTTTGTACATGAACCTGAAATAATGATAGAAATATAAAAGAGGAAGAATATCAATCACTCACCCTGTCAGTATCATAAGCTTTTCTAAGTAGCACCTACTAAACTGTCCCTTGGCAATTCTTTTATAGCTTTGCAGGGTTTTTTTTGTTGTTTTTTTTTAAGTATACTTGCATAAAATATTTTTCCAGAATTAATGTAAATGATTCATGTGCAATGCATATAAATACCTTCCTATTCTGACATAAATATTGATCAAGAATAATTTAGCTTTGGTCAAAATGAGTAAATGAAAAAAACTAACATCTTAAAAAATTGTTATTGTTTAAAACATTTGGTCTTATGTATTATTTTTCCATAATCACCCCAAACCTACACTAGTTATTTCAGTGACTGATACATTAAAATGGCTTTAAACATAATGAAATTATTTTTATAGGGTATGTTGCTTTAAATAAGCATAGGGCTTAAAATGTCTAGATACTTCTGTACATTAATGACATGATCACAAACTCAGCTATTATATTTCAATATTAAATGTTATGGTCATATTTTACTTACTGTTTAATCATTTAAATTTATTGATTTAATGAGGTAATTTATTTCACTATTTTTCTTCAAAATATGGAAGTATAAGCAAACACCTTTCTTTAAAAATCCATTATCAAAGGGTTACCTAGATATCACCAAAGTATATAGTGAACTATTTGATCAAGGAGAATGCTTACATTAGAAGCTGAAAACGTATACAATATATAGTTGTCCTTTTGTATGGTATCTGAAACAGAAAAATAAAGTTATCAGATTGAAATCACATTTATTTAGATCCTGGGTTTTTGTTTTATTTTGTAACAAGTTTATAATGTCCAAGAAATTTTTTAAAACTTCATATTGTTTGTTAATAAAACACAATAGTTATATTTTCCTTTCAAACTAACTTTTTAAATTGTCTTTAAACAAAGTCAATCTTGGTATTTTTATTTTTCTGTAAATATATATAATGAATACATATTTACTAACTTGCATTTTTCAAAGTCTGTTAAACTGAAAATCCAGAGAAACCGTTCAGTAAAATATTAGTAGTGAAATAGAAAAATGGATATTTATTATTCTGAATGGTATTTTCTCCCTACTAAATCACATAACCATAACCCATCCTAGAAGACTGGGCCATAACAATTTTATTTTGCACATATTTTAATTTATGTTATTTGAGGGAAAACAATCTAAAGACATGATAAATATTGAACTTAATTTTTGAGCAAGGAAATGAAAAAGGCAAAGATTTTTACACAACACATATAACACTTTTAATCAATATCTTTTTTAAAGAGAATATTGTAGCTCTTGTTACGTGCTGTCGAGTCCATTATGACTGTTAGTGAGTCTGTTAGAGTTTCTGAGGAGGGACAGTTAGCAGTTCAGTGCTTCTCCTACAGTGCCACACCAGGATACACAAGATTCAGACTAAATTAATTTGGAAATAACAGAATAAAAAATATCTAGTGGAATCCTGGGATTTATATAACACTAACAATTTTAATTTTCTAAAATATAATACTATGAAAATAAAATTAGAATATAAATCTTGTTTCATTGTATACTTATAAATCCATTGCTCAGAAAAGTTACATTTCCTTTAACTTTCTGAAAGGGCACACTACATAGATTTCATATTAGATACTTTCTATGTATTCTTAACCATATGCATATATAAAAATAAATTATCAATATAAATGCTTAGAGGTAAAAAGAAAGGGATACTTTAGGGAATATCTATATAATTAGAAATAAAAACTGATCTTAAAATTTAGTATCTCATGCAACCAGTATATAATTTTTTCAACAATATGCTTGGATTAATAACTACAAAGAATTTAGGATATGCTGGAATGCACTTTCAGGCAAATTCTCTGTTGCAAATGCTTAAGGCCTCTTTTCAAGGGAGAGCCAACTCTAGTGTCCTGCAGCCTTATGATATTTGAGGAGGAGCTGTTGTGAAACTGAGTGACAAAGGTAGGAAATTGTGTGTATGTATCTATGTGTGTGTGCACATGTGCAAGTGCATAGATCATGATGGAATTGAGTAAAATGGAAAACCATTAGCGACTTGAGTAAAGATGGGATGATTTAAATCACTCTTTACAAGAACCATTTTGGTTGCTACGTTGCAAATAGAATGAAAAGAGGATTGCCAATAACTATAGACTTACAGAACAGTTAAGGATTTATTACAATAATTTCAAAGAAAGATTGTAATGATAGTGATGGTGCTGATGGGAAAATCCACATCACTGTAGAACTTAGAGAAATTTTTAGGTTTTGACGAAGAGTCAATCTGAATGTTTTTGGCATCTGTAAATATGAAGTCACCATCAATATAAGTGGAAGACGTATGGGTAGAGCAGAGATAGGGTGATGATATTGTGAGTTATATTTTGGTACATTATATTATAGAGATTAATTAGACATACAAATGAAGATGTACATAGACCCTGGTCTGGTCTAGAGATAGAAGTCTGAGAATCAGGTAATTGGCATGAAAGATTACTCATTAAGAGAGCTTTTACAAGTGGAGGAGAAATGAGAACCAAAGACATTTTAGAGCAATGATTGTGAATTAAAAAAAAAAAAATCAAATCAATTGCTATGGAGTCAATTCTCAGTCATACTGACCCTAAAGGCCACAGCAACTGCCCCATAGGTTTTCTAAACAGTAAATCATTCACTAGGGAAGCAAGTTGCCACATCTTTCATCTTTCTCTTGTAGAGCAACTCGTGGATTTGAAACTCAGATCTTCTGGTTAATAGCCAAGTGCTTAATCACTGTACCACCAGGGCTCCTGATAGATGGTGGTGGTGATTATATGCTGTGGAGTCGGATCTGACTCATAGTGACCCTGTACAGGGTTTCTGAGGCTGTAAATCTTTTCAGGAGCAGAAAGCTTCAGATTTCTCCCAGGAATGGATGGTAGTTTCAAACTACTGACCTTGAGGTTAGCAGCCCTACTCATAACCACCATGCTACCAGAGCTCCAAATAGACAAGATTTTTTTTTTTTTTAAGGAAAAGTATTTTTCATAGATTCCAGATTTTTCAATTATAGGAGAGCATACCAAAGAGAAACAACCTCAGAAACTTGGTTATTGAAGACACATTTTAATGCATAAAGTAAATACATTTAGTATTTACTTATTTATTTTATGCTAAACCATATATTTATATGGTTTAGAAACTAAATCATATATTTTATATACACACATACAATACTAAACTTTTAATTGTTTTATTTGATATATACATCTAATTGAACAATATATTTTTTAGACAAATAATAGTTTAAACATACTTACAAATTCTTTATTAAAAGAAATGGATCAAAGTTTTATAAAATTTATGGGGGAGCCTATAAATAGATTAAAGCTATCCAGATTAATTTATGATGCCATAATTAGGTATTTTCATAAAATGACTTTTTATTTTTTTCACTTTGTGTAATGAACTTTCAAGTTAGGGATTCAGGAAATAAAGCTAAAGATACTGATACTTAATGGAAATAAAATTTAAGCCATTTACAAGATAACATTCTTATCTCAAATGATTTGACATTCATTAACTGGAGCTTTAAATGTGGATTCATTTTCTTTACAGATAAAAAAAAAAGGAAATTTAGTTGTAACCACTACAGTCATTAAAAATAACTGAAAACATGATGGGATTTGTACATCCAGGAACATACTATTTCAATTGAAGAAGAAGAATATAATAGATAAAGCTATCTTGACAAAAACTTTTATAACAAACTAATATAGCGTAGTGGTTACGAATTGGGCTGCGAACCGCAAGGTCGGCTATTCAAAACTACCAGCTGTCCCAGTGGGAGAAAGATGAGACTTTCTGATCTCATCTAAATAAAGATTTACTGCCTCAGAAACCCTGTACAAGGTCGCTATGAGTCGGAACCTACTCCGCGGCACATAACCACCACCACCATACAAAATTAGATATTGCAATAAAATATATGTAAATAGCAATGGAAATTTTATAAGATAATAAAAAATAAAAAATAGCTGGTTAAGAATTAAAAACTAAAACTTGTGAGAGTTTAAGAATAGTTGCAACTTTATACAATAAATGAAAGCAAGATTTCACATCATCATAATAAACATTCAAAACATGCCACTTTGAGACCTACCTATAGTTTCTCCATCATCCCAGAAAAAGTCTCCTTTTGCTTGATTGTTTTCATCTAAGGCAACTATCAGTCCTAAGGGGTTCTTACGGCTGTTAAGTAAAATTGGGTGCATATGTGATTAAAAACAAGTTTAAAATAGTGAAGTATCCAATAAATAGACCCATTTCAACCAAATGGTTGTGTAGAATCTCAGCATTTACATAAAAACATTGACATGAATTAAATTAATGTGCATTACTTACTAATACTTTTCATAGAGAAAAATTATTTATATAGTGAGAATATGAAGAAATATAAGTGCACTGAATTTCATTGAGCTTGAGACTACTGAAAAAATTGGAGCAGTATGATAATATTTCAATTAAAACAAGAAAAATCCCTACATGCATTTTATCAATGCACAATCACATCACCAATTATCACATATAAATTAACCCTCAATTTTTGTATATCAAGTCTATATGTTTTTTAAATACTTATATAAAAAAAAACAAAATAAAAATTTTAATGAGAATATTTCTAACAGTATCATAAATGAAGCTAATTTTGTTGTTGTTGTTAGGTGCCATCGAGTTGGTACCGACCCATAGTGACCTTATGCACTATGAAGCTATAGTACCAGAAAAAAACCCAAAATCATATGATTTAAAAAATATTTTTCTTAATTCTGTGTTAACATAGGTTTTTAATCCTAAAATAGTATATGTGAGATTATACAGTCTGCTCAAATACTCAACATATTACATAATCATTAAGGTGTGAACTTAGCAAGTATAAGTTTTTCATGTTCAATACAGTTATAAAGTGGAATCAATTTTTTAAGAATATAGTCATGAAATACTTTATGAAAATAATCAACTCTAGGATAGCTAAAGAATTTACTAACATTTATTTATTGACTCATTCATTGTCTCATAGACAAATATTTCTAAAAAATTGGGGATTTACAAAAGATCAGACATTAATATATTTTAGAAATACAGCAGTGAAAACTTGAATCCCTGTCTAGATAGAACTTATAATATAGAGGACCACATACAAGAAATGTATTTTCTGTTATTCTTAAAGACATGCAAAAATGCATAAAGATAACAGATAAGAAAGTGACTACCAATTGGGCTGTTTCAGATTATGGAAAAACATATAAATTCAGTAAAACACTTTTGGTGCCTTTCTCCTAGAATGAATGTTGCTTGATGACGTATTGAATATTCAAGTTTTGTTTCTTTCTAAATTTTTTGAGTTTTAGTGTTTCTGAAAAACTTTTGTTTCTCTCCTGGTCCTTTCCTAAATAGAAATATTCATTTTATTTATTAACTTAGAAGTAAGATATTTTTACAGAAATAATTTTTGAGATCATCTATTAAAACCAAAACATGTAGAAACTGGCACATAGATTTATGCATTATTTAACATTTTAATATTTCATAATTTTATAAAGAACCGGAGATTATTTTTAATTTTACATATTTTATAGATTATATTGGAGTTTTGTGTAACTTTGTGGGAAAAACATTAAAATGCTAACCAGAAGATCAACAGAAGTCCTCAGAATCCCTATATAGGGTCACTATGAGTCGGAATTGACTCACCTCACCGGCAGTTAAAAACAACAACAATAGATTGTATTCTAAAACTTTGATACTGGAAAAAAATTTCTACTCTAATTAAATTCACTTTTAAATCAAGAAATGTGTAACAACATATAAAATTTGGTGTTATAATTCTGATGATTATAATTAAGGATTTCTCCCACATGTCAAATATATTCTGGTGAAAAACTAAATATTAGATAATCTATAATTATTAATAAAAATATAAAGTACAAATTTTTAAATTATGTTTCAGATTTAAATCGATAGTTTTGCATTTTACCTGGCAGTTGTAGTCACATTAGGTTGTTGAATGGGAAGAATATAACCACCTCTAATATGTAAGCCTATTTTGTCTGCTGGAAGATTGATAGTAACACGCTGTTTTCTCCATGGTCTTTTGACACCCTGATTTTGGAAAATAATAGTATTGTTAATGATTAAGGAAGATTTCAAATTACATTTACAAACTTTAAATTTTATTTCTGGAATCCTATATTAATATAAGCACCCTGCCATCTAAATGAATAGTGTTCAGGGGGCACTAATGTTAAATGAATTTTTTTTTTTTTTTTTTACCAAAGCTATGATATAAAAATGTTTTCTTTATTTGAAAAAAAAAAAAAAATTAGAGTGAAATCCATTCTCTTTCTACAATAATGATTAACATACTTAATTAGTTCTACTTTTTTTGGATTATATTAAAGGTTAACTACATCTTAAAAAGATCATTTGGGGGAAGGATGTTTTACATCATTGTTGTTAAGTGTCATCAAGTTGGTTCCGACTCACAGCACCCCTGTATAAGATTTCCAAGGAGCAGCTGGTGAGTTTGAAACACCAACCTTGCAGTTCAAACTGATCTTGAAGTCCAGTGCTTTATCCCACAGCACTACAACAGGACTCCTTTACATCATTGTTTCTATATAAATAAAGGCTACATTTAGCAGACATACACAGTCTGCAACATAATGCTTTTATAGCAAATACCTCTGAAAAGTTCTCAATGAATTGAAAAAGAAAGTATGGGTATTAATACTGCTATTTTCAATGCTGAAATTAGAATACTTGTTTTAAATGTTTGAATGTCCTCTATAAAATAATATATGCTTATGTTTACCCAACTGTTTAACTCTATGGCAAGAAGATAAATATATAAAATTCAGGGAAAACTTAAATAAGCTATCATCTCTTCCTGAGCTTTTTTTCCCACAACTTTAAAATGAAGAACATAGTCCTTTATACTAATAAATGTAATTTTACATTAAAACTCAATTCATGTGTAATAAATTGTTTACAGCACAAATTTGTATATATTCTTAAATATTAAAATATTCCTCATAACAATGACATAAGACATAAAATATATATACTTATATGTTTGGAGTTAAGTTTCTATGTACAAATATTAAAATATATAGTTCTTATGATCCCATGATTATATTAATGTTACTTACAGTTTCATAATCATACCAAGTAGCATCAGGAATATATGCACTCACTGTTTCTGCTCCCTAATATGAAATCAAGAAAAAAAGTATATATATATGCATTTTTAATATGAATTTTTAACAGTAGGGAATCAAATCACACTCTATGTTAGTTTTCACAGTTATTGATATAGTTAAGTGCTGTTGAGTTGGTTCTGATTCATAGCAACCCTGTATAAGGTTTCCAAGGCATAGCTAGTGTGCTTGAACTGCCATCCTTGCATTTAGCAGCCCAGTGCTTATACTACAGGGCCACACTAGCACAAAAAAAAAAAAAAAGACTTTGTGTTCTTATTCTCCAATATTTGTGATTTATGGTAATCAATATCAACAAGAACATAAAATCAAAGGTGAACATAAATGATGTGTCAGTTAAAAGAATGTATGTATGACACAAATACATGGACACTGATGCTCACTGCAGCACTATTCACAATAACAAAACAATGGAGATAGCCTAAATGTCCATCAATGGAAGAATACACAAACTTTGGTACATACGTACAATGGAATATTGTGCAATGCTGAAGAATAACACTGAATCTGCAAAACACCTCATAACATGGATGAACTTGAAGGGCATTGTACTGAATAAAAGTCAGCAATCACAAAAGGACAAATATTGTATGAGATCACTATTTTAGAAACTCTTGAATAGGTTTTCACAATAAGAGAAATATCCTTTGATGCTTGTCAGAAGAGGGATGAAAGAGAGTAATTCATCAGCTAGAGTGTAGACAAATTCTAGCTCAGGTGATGGGAAGGGCAAAATATAAGAAGAGGGAAGCTGGCAGAAGAATGATGAAAATAGGGGAGACAAAAGGAGGAATGTAAGGGTTAAAAGGGATAGCGGTAAATAGTGTTATCCACAATATAATCCTGGAACAACAGTATTTTACGGGTAGACACATGAACAGATGCACAGATGGAATGGGGTTTGGAGGGATGGTGAGATTATATCCACAAATATATAAGGGTTTATAAAAGGATATCTGTACATTGGTATTTATCTTTGCTGTAAACACACTTACGAATGTGGTAAAGCATAAAGGGTACAACTTCTAAGATATTATAAAACATAGTTAGGCAATGAGTTCCTGGGCTTGGGAGCTCAGGACCATAAAGCCTCAAGAGACACCATGGTCAATTGGGATAACATAGTCCACAAATATAATGTTCTACATCTTACTTGGTCAGTAGCAATTGGGACCTTAAACACTCATTAGCAATCATCTAAAGTACAACTATTTGTCTCACCATGTGCAGAAGAAAGAAGAGTGATGAAAATTGAAGATACTTGGAAACAATTAGTCCAATGGACCAATGGACCAGGTGAACATCAGTCACCATGACTCAGAGACCAGAAGTACTATGTGGTGGCCAACTACCACTGCCAACTGCTGCGAAAGGGTTCACATTGCCATTTACAGAGTGGGAGAAAATGTGAACTAAAACTCAAACTTATAAAAACAAAACAAAAACACCAGGCTTAATGGTAATAAAAGAACTGGAGAAACCCAAGACTATAGCTTTCAACTACTCTTCGTGTCTGGAAGAAAACTTACTCTGTGTCCTAAATTTCAACCAAGCAATAGATATGCATATAGGTGGGGAGGGGATTAACACTAGTAAGGTATGCTTACCATGGAATTGTCAATCATTCAAGAAAATAAAAGAACATTTACTTAAGGACAATGTTGAGAAGGGTTGAGAAGAATTGTGGACTGGAAATAGGAAGTACAGGGCTAACTGTTGTTGCATGGAATGATTTACAAGCATTCAGATGAAAGAAAGTATAGGATTTGTTGAATGTAAAACTGTTGATTTTCCCTGTAAATCATTACTTAATTCACAATAAAAAGTTTTAAAAAATAATGTATACATGCATTTATATTTGCTATAAGCAAAATGGTAATTATGAATGGAAATAATTTATTTTGTTATGTGTCCATGTACACACAGACTTATAAAAATAGATAAGTCATTCTATTATTTTTCAATATTTTCAGACAATGTGCAATCATCAGCTTTTCCATTTTCCCTTTATTTACAATTTACCAACATCTTAAAGTCTTGTTGTTGTTAACTGCCATTGAGTTGGTTCAGAATCATAGCGACCTTACACACAACAGAATCAAATACTGCCTGGCCATGTACCATGCTCACAACTGTCATTACTTCTGAGCTCATTACTGCTACCACTATGTCAATTCATTCTTTTAGGCTATTCCTCTTCTTTTTTTTTTTTTTTGCTGAAACTACATTTTACCAAGCATGATATCCTTCTTCAGGGACTTGTCCCTCCTGACAACATTTTTAAAGTGTGAGAGACAAAGTCTCACAATTCTGGCTTCTAAAGGAACATTCTGAATACACTTCTTCCAAAAAAGATTTGTTTGTTCTTCTGGCAGTGCAAGGTATTTTTAATATTCATCATATTCATTGTTCAACTTTCACATGCATATGAGGCAATTGAAAATACCCTGGCTTAGGTCAGGTATACCTTAGTCCTCAAACTGACATCTTTGTTCTTTACCACTTTAAAGAGGTCTTTTGCAGCAGATTTGCCTAATGCAATATGCCCTTTGATTTCTTGACTGTTCCTGCCATGAGTATTGATCGTGGATCCAAACAAAATGAAATTTTAGACAACTTTAATTTTTTCTCGACTATGATGATGCTCTGGTAGCCTAGTGGTTACGAATCGGGCTGCAAACCTTAAGGTCAGTGGTTCGAAACTACCAGCCACTCCACAGGAGAAAGATGAAGCTTTCTACTCCCGTAAAGATTTACACCCTCGGAAACCCTATACAGGGTCGCTATGGGTCGGAACCGACTCGATGGCACTTAACAACAACAATGATGCTATTTAATGGTCCAGTTGTGAGGATTGTTGCTTAATTTACACCTGAGATACAATCCATATTGAATGGTATAGTCTTTAATTTTCACCAGTTCATATTTTAAGTACTCTTTGCTTTCAGCAGGCAAGGCTTTATCATCTGCATACTGCAAGTTTTTAAGGAGTTTTCTTCCGATCCTGATGCCATGTTCTTCATATACTCCAGTTTCTCATATTATTTGCTTATTATTCATATTATTCAAACATTTTGAATATGTATGGTGAAAGGATACAACCCTGGCACACATTTTTCCTGATTTTAAACCTTTTAATATCCCCTTGTTCTGTCTTGATGCCTGCCTCTTGGTCTTTACACAGGTTCCTCTTGAATACAATTAAGTGTTCTGGAATACCTGTTCTTTGCAATGTTATCCATAACTTGTCATGATGCACACAAGCAAATGCCTTTGCATAGTCAATAAAACAAAACAAATCATCTTTATAGTGTTCTCTACTGTGAGCCAGGATATACCTAAGATCAGCAATGATATACTTCATTCCATGTCTTCTTCTGAATCTAGCTTCAATCTCTGGCAGTTTTCTGTAGATATTGTTAAGTGCCATGGAGTTGTTTTGTCTCATAGAAATGCTATGTAGAGTTTACAAGGAGCAACCAGTGGGTTTGAATTGCCATCTTGTGGTTAGCAATTCAGTGTTTATCCTAGAAGTGCCGCATTAGAACTAATGGCTATTATTCTATTACAGACAGCATTATAGTTCAAGACAGATCTTGAAACGCTTTTCTTTGACAATGAATGCAATGCTGTTCCTCTTCCATTTTTCATTCCCAGTATAGTAAACCATAGATTATCTTATTCAAAATGGACAATAACAGTCCGTTTCAGCACAATAAAGCCTAGGATATTGAATCTTTTTGTGTTACATTTAATTTCTTCCAACTTACAATTTTCCTAGATTCATACTCTATACATTCCATGCCATCATTAATGGATGGTTGCAGCTGTTTCTCAGTTTGAGTTATGTCACATCAGCAGATGAAATTCTGAAAGTCTTCCTCCATTCACATCATCATAGTCAACTCTAAGGAGGCAGCTCTTCCTCAGTTGTATTTCTGTATATTCCAACTTGAGGGGATCATTTTTGGCACTGTATATAACAATATTCTGCTGATATTCTTAAAATTTTCAGTGACTAAACATTCAGAAGTAGTCTTTCTCTCCTTCTCCCTAATCAATTTTAGTCTGGAACATCCATTAAAACCTATCCATCATGATGACCCTACAGGTATTTAAAATACCAATGGCATAGCTTCCAGCATCCTAACAACAGTGATGTCATCACAGTATGAAAAACAGACAGGTAACTACACACTCATTGATTCTCTCAATGTCTACATGTGCTTAAATGAGAGCTCACAGGTTTTTTGTTTTTTTTTTTTTAAGTTTTTATTGTGAACTGTTTGAAAGTTTACATGGGAGAATATCGGTTTTATATTTATCATTTCATTGCAATGATTACAATCTCCTTTGTGCATCGTCATTCAACAGCATTTGCTTCTATTCACTCTGTTTGTATGTGCTTTTTTTCGGGGGGGCGGGGCGGGAGATGTTCACAAAAGCACTCAGGAATATATAATCATTTAACCAACTAAAGGGCACATCCTGCGAGTCTGCCTCTTGAATGCCAGCACACAGACTTTCTCTTTCCATAAGTCTAAAGTCCTCAGCTGCTTTATCTCTCCATGTCTTCTCTACCTCCTTCTCTGGTGTGACTGCTTCTCTGGATAAGGTCCCACATTCCACTTGTGCTTTTCTCCCTTGATGGTCCTAGGGTCCTCTGTTCCTGGATTGTAAGATTAGCTACTCCCCCCTTTTTGCTACAAAACTTCTACCCAAACAGTTGTGACAATAGCAGTTAGTCATGATAACAATTATGCACTATTAAATCTTAAGAATTGTATCCCCCATCTCTTTTTACTAGACCCATCTAGACAAGATGATGTCAGTGGGGACTCTACCTTCCCCTGAACACTCTTAAACTAAACTCCCTCTTGAAAACTTGTAAGCCAGTCACCTTATGCCTTTATAGCCTCCAATTTTAGGTAACCAAGGAGTTCTGGTAGCGTAGTGGTTACGAGTCGGGCTGCCAACCTCAAAGTCAGCAGTTTGAAACTACCAGCGGTTCCACAGGAGAAAAATGAGACATTCTACTCCTGTAAAGATTTACAGTCTCGGCAACCCTGTGCAGGGTCACTATGAGTCGGAACTGAGTCCACGGTACTTAACAACAACAACAACAACAACAACATTTTAGGTAACCAATGTCTAAATTGCCCATCCCTATCTCCCTATCAACCCTGTATACAGAGGAGATCGGAATGATATTGATATCAATACTCTTCCCTCTCAGTTGATATTTTGAACTACTGCCTCCAATATTATAGGTCAAGTTCATCAAATTGTAGCAATTTACACTTGTTTCCTTTATCATAAAAGAAAGAAAGAAAGAAAGAAAAATCATCCTCTATTTGAGTTCTGACCATCAAGCCATTGAAATGGGTACTATCTACAAATTTGGGTGTTCTGTGTGTCTCCCCTCATTTCATATCAGCTGGACACTTTGCCCTCAGCTCTAGCCCTCTGTGGTTATGTCCTTGTCCATGGGCTAAGGAGTCCCCAGGTTTCATCACACTTCAGACCAACCAGCTCTTCCTCTTCTCTTTCTCATCTTCAGGTCAACGGGAGTATATGGAACATGGTTGAACTCAGCCCATCTCTTCATTGCTGCCTTTCCCTCTCTTCCACTCACCAGTAGACCAACATGGTTGCCAGCAAGCTTACATGCCTGTTCATCTGTTCCCTTTGAGTTTCATTCATGGAGGGGGTTTGTCAAGAATGGACTTGATTGCTTGCCTTGATGGCTCCCTGGCAAAAAACTTGTTTGTTCTTGTAGTAGTCAATCACTTCTATTTTTGTATGATTTCATTTTGATTCAATAAGTAAAGCTTCCACTTTCAAAACAATATTAATTTTATATCATTTTAAATAAAATTTAAATATTTCATATTTGATAAATGTAGATATATTTAATATTTTCTGAATTATTTGAAATTTTTTCTATATTTCAGAATTTAATGAGACATTCATCACCTTAAAAAAGTCAACTGATTATATTTACTACCTATATGTTTTATAATATAATTTGAATCAAGTTATACATACTTTCCTCTAAGCAACACATATATTAAGCATGCAAAACATACCTGTTTTAAGACAGGAGTAATAAGTAATGAAGGGCCCCATAAAAACTGCAAGTCTTCAATCCAACTGTTTGTATCTTCATAAAACCTAAGGACAATAACAATGTGTACTGTATGTATAGTTTTAGAAGTTATTCAAATCCATTGCTTGGGTTCTCTTCTCAGTTTTTCTTTTGGATTAATTTCTAGCATCAATTTTACTTGTATCCATTGTTCTTACATACTTTACAATTCATGTGATGCTCAGGAAGGGAAACAAAGAAGACTGAAGGGAAGTAGCAAAGGAGAAATGAAGGAAGGAAGGAAAGCAGGAAAAGAGGAGAGGATGAAAGAAAAGCAAGATGGTAGATGGGAATATACTTCAAAAGATAGTGAATACATTTAATATTTTACTCACTCATGAAGAAATGGCCTTGCTACTGTTTCTCCAAACTGATGTGCTTTATAAAACAGAGTATAGAGGAAAGGTAACAATGTATATCGGATATTCAAATAATGTCTCGATGTTTTAACCAAAAGAGAGTCCTGTCCAAAATACGCAGGATCCTGAGGCTGGGTGACAAAAACAGAAATTGAAATCACAAAAAGTAAAATATTAATAAAATTAAAATGTTGTTAAGTGACTTTGAGTCAGTTCTGGCTCATGCTATTGGTGTTAGTTGCTGTCAAGTCTGTTCTGACCCATCATAACCTGATGAACAACAGAAGAGAACATAGCACATCCTACACCATCCTCACAATTGCTGCTATGCTTGAGACCATTACTGCTGCCACTGTACCAATAGTCCCTATTAGCATAGGATTTTCAAGGAGCTGTTGATAAGTTTGAACTGCTAACCTTTTGGTAAGCAGTCCAGTCTTTATCCTTCAATGCCACAACAGGACTCCGAAAATTAAAATAGAAGCATTGCAATCTATTTTTTAAAGTAAATTATAAAAAAATGAGCTTGTTTTCAAAATTTGAAATTTCCTCCTTTTTTTTATTGAGTTCTTGGATAATTTTAGATTTCACTTGGATATATGTTTTAACTAAGCTTTATTTTGCAATGGACATTTCTCATTTAATTATACAAAAGATAAAAATATTTCAACAAAACAGGGTTTTCACATACATTAATTGTGGTAAAATGAATTTTGCTTCCAAGTCTTCAATCATCTTTTTTGCCACACTTTTTGCCCTGTAAAGGAGCTCTGGTAGCGTAGTGGTTACGAATAGGGCTGCAAACCTTAAGGTCAGCAGTTTGAAACTACCAGCCGCTCCACGGGAGAAAGATGAGGCTTTCTACTCCCGTAAAGATTTACACCCTCGGAAACCCTGTACAGGGTCGCTATGGGTTGGAACCGACTCAACGGCACTTAACAACAACAACAACAACTTTGCAGCCTAAGGGTGAAATGTTCATACACATTCTTTCTTTTTGTGTTCAGTATGTGACATACTTTGGCCAATGCAACCGCTTGAAATCTGCTTGTGTGAGGTCTTGCAGTCTTATGCCTTACCATTGTCATTAGAATATTCCCATAGAACATGGAGTAGAGATACCTGGCCATCCTGGTGACTTGCAATTTGAAGAACATTCTCCCAGCTGGCTTGACCCCCTCAGTGAATGTGCAGTGATGTGAACAATCTTGCTTAAATCTCCTACTCAGAGTAACAAAATTAACTGAGAGTCCTCACTGCTGTCCCTCTGCATCCATAACTAAGTTGACTCTGAGGCTACACATTCCTCTTGCAGCTCATAGTCAGTGAATGAGCAGGGTGGGGATACACTGCTAGCCAATTTCCGGAAGATATAGGAGTCCTCCAATATGTGACACTGCTTCCAGGATTTGCCCGACTGAACCTTCTTCCTTCCCTGTCTTTTCCTCAAGGTTCAGACCTGCTCTTTATTCTAAAGGTTCTCCCTACCCTCTCTTGATCCCTTCTCTTTATCCTCCACAGGCATTACCCCAACATGCTGTTCTCCAAACAGAAACAAATAAATTATCTTAATGTGTGATTCCTAAAGGACACACATTAACTCTGTATAGGAAAGAGTCCTAGTAAAACTGTGGTCTAATCACTGGATGCTTACCACAAGGTTGACTATTCAAACCCACCAGCAACTCCACAGGAGAATGATGAGACTGAATACTCCCCAAAAGATTTACAGTCTCATAAACCCTAAGGAGCAATTCTACTCTGTCCTATAGAGTTGCTATTTGTCAGAACTAACTCAAATGCAGGGTGTTGGTTTTTTAGTTAGTGTGATCCATGTCAGGATAACCTAGCATCACCTTTTTATTATAAAATTCCATTTAGGTTTGTTAGCACGTAACTAATCTCAAATTTTACCATCTAATTTTATTCAAAGGAGTTCTGGTAGTATAATGTTTATGAATCGGGCTGCTAACATTAAGGTTGGGAGTTCGAAACTACAAGCTGTTCTGTGGGAGAAAGATGAGGCTTTCTGCTCCCGTAAAGATTTACAGCCTCAGAAACTCTGTACAGGGTCACTATGAGTCAGAACCGACTCCACTGCACATAACAACAACAACAATAATTTTATTCAATCATTTCTCCTTCCAGAGCAACTGTGCCTTTTCTCAAATAGAAATAAAGCCCTGTATGCTATCAATACGTGAATAGTAGATTTCTTATCCATCATGTATTTAGTTGACTTACTAGGTTAACTGAATTCTTACAGTTCACTCAGGACGACAATGATTAGGAAAGCTCACAGTTTGTAACATTATCAGGACTAGTCAACCCAGTGCCATCAAGTCCATTCTGACTCACATCAACCATATAGGGCAGTTGTTGTTGTTATTAAGTGCCATCAAGTTGGTTCCAACACTTAGTGACCCTATATAGGGTTTCCGAGGAGTGACCAGAAAGCTTGAACAGCTTACCTTGTGGTTCAAACCAACCTTGCAGTCCAGAGCATTAACCCACAGGGCCACACCAGGACTCCATATATTGCAGTAGAACTACTCATTAAGGAAACAGACTGTTTCATCTTTCTCCGATGGAATGACTGGTGGGTTTGAACTGCCAATTTTGCAGTTAGCACTCTAGTACTTATCCTACAGCACCACCAGAGCTCTTTTCAGAGCTGGTAGAACAGGTCGATATGTTTGTATTTCTGCTCCCAACAGTGTATCTACATGTTTGCTTGTTCCCAATCTATGCATAAACATTTTATTAATTATAGAAGGAGTCCAGGCTCAAACTGCTTTGCAAGCTTCTTTCATTTCTTATTTTTAATTTTACAAAACTAACATTGAAAATTCTTGATAGTATATTTTCTTATGAAAGAAAAATGACCTAGAACTCAACAATAGTAGAATCCAACTCAAAGCAAAAGCACTGGATCTAATTTTAAATACTGATGATGTAACATATATGTACATGCCTTAGGCTTAAATAAAATATGTTGTGAATATAGGAAGTATACAATATTTTTTAGGAAGTATACAATATTTATGTACTTTGAGAAGAAGAAGTTTGGTTATTCTTTTAAAATAATGTTCCAATCTTTTAGACCATGTATTTTTAGATTTAGACTTAAGTACTTGCCAATAATAGGGATGGATTTCACTTCAAAACATGGAGAACACAAATAAAGTCACTTACCATGTATCCCTCAGCATTATGGTTTCTGGAAAATGGATAAAATGCTCCAAGTTGCATCCATCTTCTGCAAAGCTCTTCTGTGGTATCAGCCACAAATCCACAAATATCTGCTCCTACCTAAACCCCAAATACACCAATATTTAAAAGTATAAAGGTCCTCAGATTTTAACAGAGTTTCATGTTTTCTATCTCAGTAGATTAATTTGTATTATTTATAATTGATTTGTTTTTATATAATCTCTGTTAACTTAGTTTATCTTCCATTTTTATCTATTCTTGACTCTAATTGCATTGTTTTTAATCTTTGTTTATTGTGTCTTCACACATTCAACTTGCCATTTTTTAAAATTATTTTATCCTTTGATTTAATTAATACTAATTCATGTGTATAAGGGGAAATTATTGTATTAAAATGTGTTGCTTCTCAGACCATGGAAAATAGTGGACGAAAACTCTCAAAATCATAAAACAGACGAGTTTTACTGAACAAATAGAGACCAGAGGAACCTCTGAGACAATGGCCCTTGGCTGTCCTTCAGGTTAGGAACTGAACTCACTCCCATGCCTTACTTTTCAGCCAAATGATAGGTATATAAAGCAAACAATAACATTAGTTAAGTATGTGCACTTTAGAATCATCAATCATTTGAAATAAAGAAGGTAACATCAAAGAAAAAGTTTAGAAAGGTTAGTAAGGAAGTTGGAAAATAAATAGGTAACACAAGGTAAATGATGTTATACTGTGGGACAAATGATGTTACACGGTAGGGTTTGTAAGCAATGAGATTAAACAAAATATGCATAATGTGTTGGATATGAAATTGATGTTCTGCTCTTTAATCCTTGACCAAATTACAATAAAGTTAGAAAACAACAATACATGTCCCTTGATATGATTTTTTTTTTACATTCAGAATAAAATAATCCTGATTAAAAAATTTATTGGAGTAATAGCAAACAACTGTGTATTCAAGTTGAATTTACAAAATAAATTATCACAAATAAAATTGAAACTTGTTCTATCTGTACCTCTATCAGATTACATTCATATCCTACCAGGGATCCCCCCAAAATAACCAATATTCTAAAGTTAGTGTTTATTGGTTCTATGCATTTATTTTATATAATTGTTGTTGAGCACTGTCAAGTCGATTCTGACCCATAGCAACCCTGTATAGGGTTTATAATTATGTATTTATAAATATAAGCTGTGTATAGTATTGTTTTGTATGTTTACTAGCTTTATGAAAGTTGTATGTTTTATGCATTATATTGCATTTTGCTTTTATCATTAAGCATTATTTTTGTAAGATTCACTTATTCATCTTAAGTTCTCCATTATATAGTTTTTCATTGTGTAAACATATCATCATTCACTTATACATTCTCCTACTGATGAATACTTTGGCTACATGCTATTGAATACTTCTATAAAAAAAATACTTCCATGAAATTTATGTACAAGTTTTCTTATAAATATGTAAGAACTTACTCTTAGTGTATGATATGTTACTGTTGTTATTTTAAAAGGGTCGTTGAGTCAGTTCCAACTCATAGGGATCTGTATAGAGTTTCCGAGGAGCAGCTGGTGGGTTTGAACTGCCAACCTTATAATGTGTAGCCCAGTGCTGGTCACATACCATCACAATGACAAAGTTGTCACTGATTCATGTTCATGACAATAATTTATTTTTCAGAGATTTCATGTTTACTAGTTTTCTATGTAAAATATATTTCACAGAACTTTTTGTTTGCATTTCCATTATTACTAGGAAAGTCAATACATTTTTTTTCATTTTTTTATTGAGTCCATATGGGTTTCTTCTTCAATAGAATTATTATTGACTATCTGCATTAAAAATATCATATCACTTTATGTATCACAGACAGCATTATAGTTCAAGATAGATCTTGGAATGTCCTTTTTGATAATGTCATTCATCTTTAATCCATCATTCCCGGCATAGTAAGCCATGTGACTGGTAGATTCAAAATGGCCAATATCAGTCCATTTCAGCTCACTAATGCCTAGGATATCAATATTTATGTGATCTATTTCATTGTTTACAACTTCCAATCTTCCTAGATTCATACTTTGAACGCTCTATTTTCCAATTTTTAATGGATGTTTGCATCCTTTTACCCTCATTTTAACTTGTACCCCATTAGCAAATACAGGTCCTAGAGGCTCTGATTCATTTGTATAATCACATTCAACTCTACTTTGAAGAGACAACTCTTCCTCAGTAGTATTTTGTGTGCCTTCAAACTTGAGGGACTTTTCTTCTGGCATTATATCTGACCATATTCTCATGTTATTCATCATGCTTCAATATTCAATATTTTAGTGCTATTTGACAATGATTCACTGCTATTCATGATGTTTTCATGGCTAAACATTTAGAAGTATTCCACCTCTTCTTCTGAGTCTGTTTTAGTCTGGAAGCTCAGCTGGAATCTGTCCACCATGAGTGACCCTGCTGGCATTCAAATTACTGGTGCCATAGCTTCCAGTGTTACAGCAATATACAAGCTATCATAGTGTGACAAAATGACAGATAGGTGGTGATTATATACATACATACACACACATATATATATATATATATATATATATATAAACATATGTAACATACTTAACATATGTAACGTCAACAGAAAATCTAGTCCTTTAAATATATTTAGTCTTTTGTCATTCCCTATTTTTATTCATTTATTTGTAATTTTCCCTATCATTTTATTTCTTTTTATATTTATTATACATAATTTTTCTAGGCTTTATTTTTATATTCTGTTTCTCACTTATATTGGCTTTATTGAATTTTTCAATCTTATTTTCGCTATGGGTCAGAACCGACTCCATGGCACTTAACAACAACAGTTTTCTCATTCTAGTGATGAAAATGCTATTGAAGTTTTCAGGTGCCATTGAATAGATTTTATCTCATTGCAATCCCACAGAATTTTCCCCATTGGAAAATTCTGTGTGTGTGTGTGATTTGAACAGTCAACTTTTCAGTTAAGACCTAAAAGCTTAACTGTTTGTGCCACTGGGGATCCTTGTGAATGGTATATTGTTGTTGTTGTTATGTGCCATGGAGTCGGTTCCGACTCACAGTGGCCCTATACAGGGTTTCTGGGGCTATAAATATTTACAGGAGCAGAATAGACATCACCAATATTCTTATTTTGTTTTCTTTTCTTCTGCAGCATGCCTTTTAATCATTTGACCAAATATCACTAAGACAATAATATTTAATTTGGAGTTTTTTAAAATAACATTTATGCAAAGACTTACCAAAGGCATTCCAAACAAACTGAACTCTAACATTCCTGAAATAGACCATTCCATTTGTTCCCATGAAGCAGTATTGTCACCTAACCAATGTGCAGCATGCCTTCCAGTTCCAGCAAAAGTTGACCGGGTAAGGATAAAGCTTCTCTTATTAGGAAAAACTTTTTGTACAGCTCTAAAAATAACACAAAGTTAATAAAAAAGGCATATTTAAAATTAATTGTTGCCTATATAATCTAAAGTTTAATTTTAAAGAATATATTACAAATCTCACAGACAAGTCATATTTGTTACTATTTAAATAAAACATTATGTTAATTTTCTATTAGCTAGAGATATACAGTTGCTTAAAAACATTTTGAGCAAACACAGAGTAAGCAAAGTGTTTAGAATTGATTCATACTTTGAATGATTTTCTTGACTAAATTGTGCCCCTCTCCATGAAATTAGAAGTTCTAAACCCTGTACTTGTAACTATTACCAAGTTTGAAAATAAGGGGTTTTCTTGTTTTTAATGAGGTCCTACCAGAGGAGGGGTGGGTCCTCCAACTGTTGTTACATGCTATCAAATCGATCTGATACATTGGGACCCTTAACTATAAAGAGTTTGCAAGAGCAGCTGTTGGCTTTGGATTGCTGAGCTTGGAGTTAGTGCTATTTCTCCACCAGGGTGTGGGTCCTACATTTAGTCACTCAGAAATGTCTTCTTCAAGTATAAAAACAGTACAGTAGATATAGACATATGCATAGAGGAAAGGTAGACACCATGTGAGGATTATCTAAAAGCAAAGGGACTCCCAAGGATTGCTGGCTGTCACTAGAAACTAGGATAGATTCTCACAGAAAGGGTTGACATTCCTGATACCTTGATTTTGACTTTTAGACTCCAGAAGAAAATAAATTCCTGCTATTTAAAGTCATCCACTTTGTGATGGCTTGTTGTGGTAGCGCCAAGTAACCAAGACATTTACCAAAATAAACTAACATGTTCTTTTGTCATTTGTTCAACATTTGCATGTAAAATATATGTTTTAAAATAATTGAAATCATTTCATAAATATGAAATTTAGTAATTAAAACTTGAAATCAGTATGTATTTTTTTGCTGCTGTTACGCGATATCTTAACATCTGCATTTTCAAATACCAGCAAGTTACCATAAAGTTATTTGCCTGTTTCTAGAAATCAACTACCACCCACAACTGTTAGTACTATTATTCTCACCTCTGCTGATGTTTTTCCCATATTTATAATTTTGTCATAATCATCATAGAGTATTATTTTCTGTTTTCTAAAATGTACTTAACTCAAAAAAACTACTGACTTAAATAATGCATTATTTAAGACTTTATTGAGATCAAAGTGAAGCAAGCTAATTGTATCAAGATAGTGTATAAAAGTGCTGATACCATACATGATTTTGGACCAGATAAAAAAAAATGAAATTGGACTTAAACTTGATCAAGTGCTGATACCATGCATGATTTTGGACCAGATAAACATGAAATTGGACTTAAACTTGATCATAGTTGTCTGATTATGAGAAACTCACAAATTTATTTAGACTAGATCTGGATTGTGTTCTAGTCTTACAATATGGGATCTTATACAATGCGTTTAGCCCATGGTGTTCCAGGTCATGAAGTACTCAAGCTGATAGTCAATGATTGGAGGCTCAAGTCCATCCAGAGCTTCCTTGGAAGAAAGGCCTGGTAATTTCCTTCCAAAATATCAGTAATCAGAAACCTCATTGAGCATAGTTCTATTCTGACACACATGTGGTTGCCATGAGGCAGAATGGACTCAATGGCATGTGATGCTAGTACTGTTACACAGTGTCTGGAAATTTTTAGGTAACTAGCATATAAATTTCCTTTAATTAGTATCATATTTTATATGGAAACAAAAGGGTGAGTAAAAAATGATCCCTACTCTGGTTATATTACAATGCCTGTCCATATCTACAGCTGAAAACAATATTGAGCATGCATGTGAAATGATTCTGTCGAACAGATGAGTGTCAGTGGATTATGTGGCAGATCATTTATAAATCAGTCACAGATTATGAAATAATCCATGACAGACTTGGGTTTTGAAAATTTTGTATGAGATGAGTATTGAACTAACTCACAGAAGAGAATAAACAGAAGTATTGGACATCTGCAAACAAACTTTGGACCAATTCTCAAAGGAAGGTAAAAGTTTCTTTAAAAAATATCATGACTGGTTATTAGACATGGATTCATCACTACAAGCCTGAGAGTAAGCGGAAGAATACAGAACATAAACATTCTCAGTCGCCAACCAGGAAAAAGTTCAAAAGTCAACCATCAGCTGGAAAATTGAGGCTTACATGTTTCTGGAATTTTCAAGGGCCAGTATTGGAACACTATCAGAAACAGTGCTCATTATAGTAAGATGCTCAGTGAAGAGCTGAAGCTTAAACTTCAGATTAAAATAGAGGGCAACTATCCAACAGTTTTGTGCTCTTGCATCTGCACACCTCCATCCACACTGACACTCTGCAAAAACTTTGTCTTGAGTTGTTAAAGCATCCTCCCTATAGTCCTCATCTTACTCCATCAGACTTCCACTTGTTTGGTCCCCTGAAAGCAGCCCTTTGAGTATGAAGATTCACCTTGGATAAAGAAGTGAAGTCAGTGGTGCATTTGTGGCTTGCTGCTCAGCCTAAAACATTTTTTAATAAGGAAATATAGAAGCTTGTTGACATTTGGAGAAAGCATATTGAAAAGCAAGGAGATTATAATAGAAAAATGATATATTTGTCTTTTCTAAAATTATATTAAAATGAATTCTACAGCCAAAGTGTGGATAATTTTTGACTCACACACACACACACACACACATATATGTGTGTGTGTGTGTGTGTGTATACAAATAATAGTATATTAAAATATATTTGCTGAACACCTATTTGAAACCACAATTTCAATTTCAACCCTTGTTTTAAAAAAAAAATACATATTCTACAAATAACACTCTCCCTGGGGCAATTGTAGAGTTCATGCTTACAACACAATTATATTCAGATATGAAAAATTGAATCACATTTTGGAGGAGAAATTTTATATAGGAATTTAGAAAGAATCACAGTTAAATAAATAATTTGTGTAGTTCTTGTTAATTGATTTCCAAATTAATGTATATTAACAAAAGAACTGATGCTTTGAAAGCCACAAATTTTAGCATTAAACCAGAGTATAGTGTTATCTTCAGCTTTTTATTTTATTTGCTTTCTTACTCTGGGTATTTTCAAAGTATATAGATAGATCATTATGCAATATTTGTAGAAAATAATTAGGGAAAGACTTTCTTAATGAAAGCATACTTACTTCTCTGTAGCTATGGCCATGCTGTATCCATAGAGGCTGTGAACATCATATTGTTTCCCCCAGTACTGTACTGAGTCCATGCAAATTGTTTTGGAATACATGAGTTTGTCAAGAATATCTTAGAGAAAATAAATGTTAAATGTTTTTTAAAATATATAGTCTCATTTTAAACTTTACATATTTAAATATGGTATGCTATGTAATGTGTAATGTGTGGTGCTATTGAATAAGCACTGAACTGCTGCTAATCATAATGTCGGCAGCTCATGCCCACCAGACATTCCTTGGAAAAGTTGTACAGTATCGCTATGATTCAGATGTGACTCAATGACATTTAACAGCATGTGTAATGTTATATTTATTAGAAAAATAATAATAATGATGAAAAGAGGAAATTCAATCCAATTCTGGTAGCGTAGTGGTTACGAATCGGGCTGCGAACCTTAAGGTCAGCAGTTCGAAACTACCAGCCGCTCCGCGGGAGAAAGATGAGGCTTTCTACTCCCGTAAAGATTTACACCCTCGGAAACCCTATATAGGGTTGCTATGGGTCGGAACCGACTCGACAGCACTTAACTTAACACAAGTTTCATTAGGGCCCTCACAATCCATTGTTGTTGAACTTTCAATAACCATTAGACCAACATTTATCTTAATGAATTCTGTCTCTACCTAGAATAATAAGTAATTTCACAGAACAAATAGCCTTTAATACAGATATAAATATGTATGTGCATATATATATATTACTGTATAAAGTTTCATTATAAAATTTTATAATGAATTAGGTTTTTATTGTAATGAAATCTAAATCTAGACATGTAGACCTGACATGTTGTTGTTGTTGTTGTGTGTCATGGAATCAGTTCTGACTCATAGCAACCCTGTACAGGGTTTCCGAGGCTGTAATACTTTACAGGAGCAGAAAGCCTCACCTTTCTCCCACAGAACAGCTGGTAGTTTCGAACTACTGACTCTGAGGTTAGCAGCCCAATTCATAACCACTAAGCAACCAGAGTTCCTGTTGTTGTTAGGTGAGGTTAAGTTGGTTGTGATTCATAGTGACCTGATGTACAGACCATCCCCAGTTTACAGACAGTTCCATTCATAAGTCTGTCTTTAACTAAAATTTGTACATAAGTCAGAATAGTTAGGTACAGCTCATATTTAATGTTAGCCAAATGTTTGTTTTAATATATAGTATATTGTACATACTCATTAAAATATTTTAAATGCTTCCAAATGTATTAAAACATCTTTAACTTAATAATAACATAAGGATATTATCTTAATGTGTGCTGCAAGTTGTTGTTACTGTTGTTAAGAGCTGTCGAGTTGGTTCTGACTCATAGTGACCTCTATATGGATTCTGAGACTGTAAATCTTTTAGGAGCAGAAAGCATCATCTTTTGAGCAGCTGGTGGGCTTGAACCACTGACCTTCTGATATGGAATCTAGTGCTTATCCTACAAAGTCGCCTCACTCCCCATGCTGCAAGTTGCTGTAATTGTTGTTAAGTAAATCGGTTCCAACTCATTGCAACTCTATATAGGGTTTCCAAGAAGCAGCTAGTGGGTTTGAACTGCCAACCTTGTGGTTAGTAGTCCAGTACATATCCTATAGTGCCAAATCAACTTTTTTTGCTGACACTCTATATTATCAGAGATTTAGTATGGTGCAGTACGATAAGCACTGGACTGATACCATTAGGTTAGACATTCAAAGTGCTCTTAAAAAAACCTGTGTAGGATCGTTTCGAGTCAGAATCAATTCAGCAACAACTGCATTATTAAACATGATGTCCTTCTTTAACAATTGATTCCTCTTGATGACATGTCCAAAGTAAGCAAGGTGAAGCGACACCACCATCCTCACTTCTATAGAGCATTCTGACTGTTCTTCATCCAAGATTACTTTTTTCTGGAAGTCTATAGTATATTCAATATTCTTCACCAAAACCACAATTCAAGTGAATCTATTATTCTGTCTTCCTTTATCACTGTCCAACTCTCACATACTTATGACATGATTAAAAAGAACATAGCTTGGTTCAGGCAACCTTGTCATCAAAGTGACAACTTTGGTTTTTTTAAGAGGGCTTTTGCAGCAGCTTGCCCAGTGCAAAGCAATGTTTGATTTATTGACTGTTGCTTTCTTACATTTTGATTTTTAATCCAAGGAGAATGAAATCCCTGATATTAATTTCTTCATCATTTCTTATGATGTTGTTCATAAATTACAACGCTAATAAAATTTCATAATTTAAATTTCTGCTGTTCAGGTGTTTACTGTGTAGTAATTTATAGACTTAGTTGATACTATGATAGTTACTGTCATTGTTCTTCATAAGTCCTTATTGAAACATGTTCCTCAAGGACTACATCTTTTTGTTAAGTTCAATTTTTTTGGTTATTTTTAATGAAGACAACCATCTTTCTAAAAAATAAGTGAGGTGTAACTCATTATTTAAATATACCTAAATGAGGTATATTCATATTGTTGTTAAGTGCCATTGACTCGGTTCCAACTCATAGTGATTCTGTAGATGGTTTCTGAGGAGTGACTAGTGATTTTGAATGCTGACCTTGTGGTTCAAACCGACTTTGTGGTCTAGTGCTTATTCTACAGTGATACACCAGGACAACCAGGACTCTATATCTATATTAGGTATATTTAAATAATCACACAGCCTTATAACAATATATATATATATATATATATATATATATATTACTTTTCAATCATTTTAACTGTGTTTTCAAACAAATTTTGCTTATCTAAATTAATTATTTAATAAGGACAATGAATCTGAAGTAAAGATAATCCTGCAGAACTATGTATAATCCTCATTGAAGACTGTGTTCTCTTTTAAATTCATCAGAAAGTGCTAAAGTCATAAATGTAGCCCTAGTTTGGGGCAAAATAAATGGTATAATCTGTATATAACAGGTTGTTAATGTATCTTCCTCTATTCTTGATGCAAGTTTATGGTTCATACACTTCAGCTTCTTGAATTATTCATTCATCATACAGATCTAGTAAGAATCTGCCATACACATTTTCAAATTACGCAGTGTTGTAATGTTCAAAGTGCTATTTGCTCCAAGTAAGGTCCTGAATTAGAGCAACGAAGTTTTCTGAAATTTCTATTCTTCAATAATGTTATCCCAACACACACATAATTCACACATTTAAATGCCTTATAATAGTCTATAAATCATAAGTAAATATGTTTCTGCATTCACTAATTTCATCAAGATCCATCTGACGTCAGTAATAATGTACTGCATTCCATAGTCTCTTCTGAGTCTGGCTTGAACTTCTTGGCAGGTGTTTTGTTAATGTACTACTGCAGTCATTTAAATTTTCTCTTCAGGATATTTTGCTGACATTCATAATGGTGATCAATGTTTTCTGTATCTCATTTGATCATTTTTTGAATATGAACAGATATACAACTATTACTATCCATTGGATAGATGGCTATTTTCCAAATTTCTTGACATAGACATGTGGTGGTGGTGGTGGTTGTGTGATTCCAGCTCATAGTTTCCCTGTGTAGGGTATCTGAGGGGCTGGTGATATGAACGCCTGATTTTGTGGTTATCAGCTCTACACGTAACTCATTATACTACCAGGGCTTCTATAGACAAGTAAACACATCAGTTTACTGAAAAATCAACTGGTATTCCCTCAATTCCAGAAACCTTGTTTTTTTTTTCACCTGTGCATCTTGACTGTTTTCCTTCAGTCTAAGTGATTCTTGGTCATGTACAGCCGACTTAAATTGTTGAAAATCAATCAAATCTTTGCTACTGTATATACCTTATATTGTCTGATATTTCTTATGTCATCTCCACCTTCTCCTCTCCATAATGTCTTCAATAATAAAACTTAAGGTTTTTTTGTCTTAGTGTTTTCATCTTGAGAAATGCCAATCTTTTTATTCTCTTTTGCTTTTCTGTTTCTCTTTCACCTTTTTATAGGTTTTGTATATTCATAGCAATATTTGACCTTGCTTTCTGGAGCCACCATTTTAAATCTTCTGCTTTATTCTTTTATTTCCTTATTTCTTATATTTGGTTAAGCTATTTTCTGCTTCTGCTTAAAAATAAGTTTCAGAGTCTCTCCTGGTATTCATTCTGGTCTTTTTCTTCTTTCTTCTTTTGCTTCTAATGACCTTTCACTTTTTTCATGTATGATGCCATTCATGTTATTCTTCACATCTTCTGCTCTTTGGCCATTAGATTTCAGTATAGTTCAAATATATCTATATCAATATAGATAGATAGATAGATAGATAGATAGATAGATAGATAGATAGATAGAGAGAGAGATAGAGAGATAGATATAGATATAGATATATAGAGAGAGTCCTGGTGTGGGGCTGTGGGCTAATAAATCAGACTGCAAAGTCATTTGAACTGCAAGGTCAGTGGTTCAAGCTCACCAGCTGCTCCTTGGAAACCCTATAAAAGGTCTCTATGGGTTGGAATTGACTCAATGGCACTTAATAACAACAACAACAACAACATAATTTTATAGATATAGATATATAGAGATATAGATATATAGATATATGTAAGATAGTCACCACATTCATGCTGTATATATTCAAGGTAGTATTCTCACTCTCATAAACTTGTTTTGATCTTCTTAAGCTTCAATTTAAACTTGTATATAACTTATTCATAAGGAGCTCTGGTAGCATAGTGGTTACAAGTCAGGCTGCCAATCTCAAGGTCACCAGTTCAAAACAACCAGCAATTCCATGGGAGAAAGATGAGGCTTTCTGCTCCCATAAAGATTTACAACCTCTGAAACCACATACAGGGTTTCTATAAGTCAGAATCAACTCCATGGCACGTAACCATCACCACCACTATGACTAATCCATGGCCTGTTCCATATTCAGCTTCTCCATGTGTCTTAACTGATAATATTGAACTTTACTTCTCTTTTTACAGATGTACTCAGTTTGATTCCTGTGTAAGTCATCTTTCAATATCCAATTGTGTCATATTGTAATTAATTCATTGTGTTGTTGTGTCATCTGCATATCATAAATTGTTGATGCGTCTACCTCCAATCCTGATGCAAAAGTCTGTCATGCAGAATCCTATCATATAATCTCTGGTATCATTCTATTCTCAAGGTTATATTTTCCAACTAATGATCCTTATTCTACTTCCAACTTATGCATTACAATAACTAGTAATTATTAATACATCTTGATCATATGTACTGTCAACTTAAGACTTCAGAAGACATAAAATCATCTGTTTCCTGATCTTTGGCATACGTGTTTGTTGTGCAAATTTAAATAGTCATTTTAACAGCTATTCCTTGTATGCTATTGGATATTAACCCATTGCTGAAAGTGCTGTCCTTTAGGATAGATTTCCAAATGTTCTTTTTAATGATGAGTGCAATGATGTTTCTCTTCAATTTGTCATTCCTGTTATAGTAGACCATATGACTTTCAGATTCTAAACGACAAATACCCATCCATTTCAGCTCACTAATGCCTAAGAAATCAATCTTTAAGCATTCTATTTCATTTTTAATAGCTTTCAATTTTCCATGATTCAATCTCCATGCATTCCATGTCCCAGTTGCTAATGGATATTTGCAACTGTTATTTCTTATCTTGAGTTATGCCACACCAGCAAATAAAAGTCCTTAAGGGTTTACTTTATTTGCATCATTAAAGTCAACTCTACATTGAGGTAGCAACTCATCCCTAGTTTTATTATGAATGTCTTCCTACCCGAGTGGCTCATTTTCCAGCATTGTATAGGACACTATTCTGTTGTAATCTACCAGGTATTCTTTGCTAACATTTGGAAGCAGATATCAAGGACTTTCTTTCTAGTCTGGTTTCATTTTAAAGCTCTGTTGACACCTGTCCACCTAGATGACCCTGTGGGTATGTGAAATATTGGGAATATAACTTCAAGTATCATAGCAATACACAAACTTCCTGAGGATGCCAGTGATAAAGGGTTGATGGGTCCATCCTTCTGTGTGGGCTATATGTGAATGTGAAAAAATGAAAATCCTCAAAAAAGGACTTATAAGCAACATCATGTTAAATAAAAAATAAATCATAATTGTTAATGACTTCATTCTTTTAGGATTATCAATCCAGAAATCAAATGACAAGTTGTTTAAATCTATGACTGAAGACTTCTTCAAAGCTTTCTAAAGCAAAGCTACTTTCACTTGGATGTATATAGTGTTTCTGATCCCAAGCCATGGTCTTTTCATCATATGCATGTGAGCATGAAACGAACAATGAAAAAGCAAGAAAAAAGAATAGATATATTGAAACTGTGGTATTGGTAAAGAATACTGAGTATACATTGGATTTCCAGTAAAACAGACAAATCCGTTTTAGATGTACTACTACCATAAGGTTCCTTAGAGTGAATATGGTGAAGCTATAGTTGGCTTACTTTGGAAATCTGATCAGAAAAGACCAATCACCAGAAAAGGACATTATGCTCAGTAAAATTTAATATCATCAAACATAAGAGAAATTCTCAATGAGATAGATTGCAACAACAACTACAACAATGAGCTTTAAAATGCCAGTGATTATTAAAATAGAACAGGACTGTGCGATGGTTTATTCACTTATTCACAAGGTTGTTATGAATCAGAGCTGACTCCATGGTAACTAACAAAAAATAATAAAGATAATACAACATGCAATATGAAAACTAAAAAACATGCTCCTTCTCCTAGAACCTAAGCAATAATATTTTGAGTGAATGCAAAAAGCTATTGATTACCGAGTCTCCAAATTATACTAAAGTTTATTACTTTAAAATATAGAGTTTGCCATTCAATAAGGAAAACTAGAATTTTCTCAATCAGTGGTAATTAAATATTAAATGTAATTTACCAGGAGTAAATGGTGGATAATTCCATTTGTTGTCCTTACATCCTTCTTTAGAACCTTGAACAAAGCTGGAAACTTCATTCATATCCTGAATAGATACAAAATGAACAGATACTTTAAATTAATTATAATGTTTCAAGTCAAATCTCTCCAATTATTTGAAAATGACTTATTTAAAGCAATTGTAGTGTTCTACCAGTCCTAGAAGACAAATATAAGCTACTAATCTTACAAATGTAGTAAAACAAACTAACAAAAATGTAAGCAACTAATCTTGTAAGTGTAGTAAAACATACAAAAATATAAGCAACTAATGTAACGTAGTGGTTACGAATTGGGCTGCGAACCTTAAGGTTAGTGGTTCGAAACTACCAGCCACTCCACGGGAGAAAGATGAAGCTTTCTACTCCTGTAAAGATGTACACCCTCAGAAACCCTGTACAGGGTCGCTATGGGTCGGAACCGACTTGACGACACTTAACTTAACTTAATCTTGCTTTACTACACTTACTATTTGATACCACTCTCAGGTATGGATACTATCATATTGACAAACACAATATTATTTGTTTTGCATACATATAAACACAAGATAACAGAAGCATTATATGAGTTGGTGGTTTACAAACAACTAAAAATGCTTTTCCTTTCACCTAATTTTAATTATACATATAAAGCATTTGTTGCATTTTAGGTATCAAGCATGTGATTTTTAGAGTTTTGTCAGTGTTCTCCCTGTGAATCTGTCATTGTACACATTATTAGCACATCTAGTCATTTAATATATGTTATCCATTTGATCTTTCATCCAGCTTCCTTGATGCTCTAAGGAGTCACTGGTTAATGCTTGACTACAAGGGTGGCTCTGCTGAATAGTGTGGTGGACCTCAAGGCAGGTAGTTCAAAACCACTAGCAACTCCTTGGAAACCCTATACAAGGCTGCTATGGGTCAGAAGTGACTCGATGGCACTTAGCCACAACAACTAGCTGAAAGTTTGGTCATTCAAACCCACCCAAAATTGCCATGTGAAGATACATCAGCAAGCAAGTGAGCACCAAGGATTTCTGGAAACCACTAGAGGCTAGAAGAAAGGTTTGAAAGAGTTCCTTTCTTAGTGCCTTCAGAAGGAATCGACATGGTCAATAATACCCTTATATGGTTTTAGCCTCAAGAACTAAGAGACAATAAATCTCTACTCTTTAAAGTTACCCACTTGGTGGTATGGGCCACTATGGGCAAATGCGCTGGACTGCAAAGTTGGTTTGAACCTCAGGGTCAGCATTTCAAGCTCACCAGCTGCTCCTCATAAACCCTTTACAGAGTCGCTATGGGTCAGAACCAACTTGATAGCGCTTAACAACAATAACGACAAGAAAATAAAGACATATTTTTGGAATTATATTGCTGTGCTGTTGTTGTTCTTATGTAACATAAAATTGGTTCTTGCTCATAGTGACCCTATGCACAAATGAATGAAAATCTGCCCAGTTCTGTGACATCCTCACAATTGTTGGTTTTGAGCCCATTGTTACAGCCATTGTGTCAATCCATTCCATTGGGATATTCCTCTTTTTCATGACCCTCAATTTTATCAAGCATGATGGTCCTCACCAGAGACAGGTTCCTTCTGGATAACATACCCAAAATAAGAGAGACAATGTCTCACCATTCATACTTCTAAATTCAAGGTACTTTCAGCATTTTTTGCCAATATCATAATTCAAATGCATAAGTTCTTCTTCTATAGTCTTTCTTATTCATTACCCAGCTTCCAGTGCATATGAGTTGATTGAAAATACCATGATTTGTGTCATACTCACCTGTCTTCAAACTGATATCTACTATCTGATACTTCAAAGACATCTTTTGGTGCAGATTTACTAATGTAGTATGCCATTTGATTTCTTAGCTGCTGCTTCTGATTGTTGATTTGTGGATTCAAGCAAAATGAAGTCTTTGGCAACTTCAATTTTTTTCTCCATTTATTATGATGTTATTTATTGGTACAGTTGTGAGGATTTTTTTTTTTTTCCTTTACATTGAGATGCAATACAGACTGAAGGCTGTAGTCTTGTTTTAATGGCTGCCTTTTGGTCTATGTACAGGTTCTTCACAAGCACAATTAATTGTTCTGGAATACCCATTCTCAATGTTATTGATAGTTTGTTATGATACCCATAGTCGAATGCCTTTGCATAATCAATAAAGTGCAAGTAGACATCTTTCTGGTAGTCTTTGCTTTTAGTGAAGGTCTGTGTGACATTAGTATGATATATCTCATTCCAAGACCTTTTCTGAATCCAGTTTGAATTTCTGAAAACTCCCTGTCAATGTATTGCTGCGACCATTTAAAACGTATCCTCGGCAAAACTCTACTTGCATGTGATATTAATAAGATTGTTTGATGGTTTCCTTATGCCATCTGGTTACCTTTCATTGAAATGGGCACAAATAAGGATCTCTTCTAATCTGTTGGCCTTTCCATTTTTTTGACATACACAAATCAGTGCCTACATTGCTGCAGAGTTTGTTGAATGATTTCAATTTGTATTCTGTTAGTTTCTGGAGTATTGTTTTTTGCCAGTGTCTTCAGTGCAGTTTGAACTTCTTCCTTTAGTATCACCCTTTCTTCATCCTATGGCACCTCTTGAATTGACTAAAAATTAATTAGTTCTTTTTGGTATGGTGGCTCTGTGTATTCCTTTCATCTTATTGTGATGCTCCCTGCATCATTCAATATTTTGCCCATAGAATCCTTTAAAATTGCAAGTTGAGGCTTCAATTTTTATTTCAGTTTTTTTCAACTTGAGAAAGACTGTTCTTCCCTTTTGGTTTTTTAACTCCAGGTCTTAGCACAGTTCATTATAATACTTTATTTGTCTTCTGGAGTTGCCTTTTGAAATTTCCTCTTCAGTTCTTTAACTTCCTCATTTCTTCCACTTAATTTAGCTTCTCTGTGCTCAAAAGTAAGTTTCAGAATTTCTTCTGACATATTTTTCTTTCTTTTCTATCTTTTTAATTCCCTTTTGATTTCTTCCTGTATGATTTCTTGGTCTTCAGTAATTTGTGTCTAATGCATCAAATCTGTTCTTGAGACAGTTTCTAAACCCAGATGTGATACACTCAAGGTCATATTTTGGCTCTTGTGGACTTGTTTTTATTTTCATCTGCTTCATTCTGAACTTGCATATGAGCAGTTGGTAGTCAGTTCCACAGTGGCTGTCAGTTCCCTGAGTCTTGTTTTGGTTGATTGTATTGAACTTCTCCATCATCTCTTTTCACAAATGTAGTCAATTTGATACCTATGTATTTCATCTTATAAGGTGCTCATGTGTTAGCAACATTTATGTTGTTGATAAAAGGTATTTTCAAGGAATAAGTGTTGGCCTTGAATAATTATATCATGTAATACAGCATTATTTTGATCACTAAGGTTATATTTTCTAACTACCAACCCTTCCTCTTTGTTTCCAAATTTGGCATTACAATAACCAATGACTATCAATGATTCCTGGTTTCATGTTTGATTAATTTCATAATGAAGTTTGTAGAATACTTCAATTTCATCATCATTGGATTTAGTAGTCGATGTGTAAATTTGAATAGTAATGGCATTAATTAGTCTTCATTGTAGGTATATGGATATTATCCTATCACAGAGAACATTGTACTTCAAAATAGATCTTGAAATGATACTTTTTAGTATGAATACAATGTCAATCCTTTTCATTTTTTCATTCCCATCATGGTAAATAATATAATTGTCTGATTATAAATGACCAATACAGGTCTGTTTCAGCTCAGTAATGTCTAGGATATCAATCTTTATGTGTTTGATTTCATTTTGATGACTTTCAATTTTCCTAGATTCATACTTGCATATTCCACATTCAGATTATTGATGGATATTTGCAGCTGTTTTGTTTTTTATTTTCTTCTTCTTCTCCTTCTTCTTTCTTCTTTTGACATGTGCACTATCAACAAATGAAGATTCTGAAAGCTTGCTCTATTCACGTCATTAAGGTCAATTCTATTTTTATGAGACAGTCTTCCCCAGTCGTATTTTGATTATATCCAACCTAAGGGGTTCACCTTCTGGCACTATAGCAAACAATGTTACCCTGATACTCATTAGGTTTTCAGTTGCTAGTTATTCAGAAATGGTCTTCCTTTTCTTCTTCCTAGTTTGTCTTAGTCTGCAAGCTCTGCATAAGCCTGACTACCATGGGTGACCTTGCTAGTATTAAAAATACTGATAGCATAGATTCCAGCATCACAGCAACACATAAGCCATTACAGCACAACAAATTTACAGATAAGTGGTGGTAGATTGCTTAAGGCATATTTGTAAATATCATGAACTATTTTTTAAAGATCATTGATTAGTGGATAAATATTCAATTCAACACCTGAATTACAGGAACAGATATTATTCTGTAATGTTTTGCCATATTACTAGAGTAAAAAAAGAAATTTACATTTACATGTTTTAGTTTGTATTCTTTTTAAACAAAGAATATGACAGTTATGATATTGACACATTCTAGAAAAACAATATAGGAATTTTATTGCTTTTGTTATTGAATACATTAGTAAAATGTAGCTTGTTACTTAACAATATTTTATGCTTGAAACATTCTAAATAAAGTCACTAGTTTAAAGTTATTACTTACGATCCAAAGTCCATCATACTTCACTTCTTGATGGAAACGACTGCATTCATCTGCCCACCATTCTATGCCTTGTGGACTAGTGTAATCAGGATATACTGTTAGTCCTGGCCATACCTAAAGTAACAAATTGTTCACATATATTCATTAATCAATGACAAGCAAATGGCTTGCAGACCTAATTCACTTGAGCAGAATAAAAAAATAAAAAAACAGTTCAAGATAGATAGACTATTGTACTTCTTTAAGTATGTGTGACTCATGCATCCTCTATTATATTCATAATAAAGATATCTGCCTCCAAGAAATTAGAGGAGAAAACATCCTGGTATGTTCATTTTATTATTTGTTGTCATTGTTAAGTGCCGACAAGTTGGTTGAGTCTCACAGTGACCCTGTATAGGGTTTCTGAAGAGAGGCTGGTCAGTTTGAACTGTCGATCTTGCAGGTAAAACCAACACTATGGTCAAGGGCTTATCTTACAGTGCCACATTTTATTATCTAGTAAACATGGTATAACACATAATATGTGTTGGCCATTGTTCTAATAATTTTACAATAAGTAATTCAATTTTTGTTATTGCTTTAGGAACTGGGTGGTGGTGGTAGTTATGTGCCATGGAGTCAGTTCCGACTCATAGTGACCTGAGTCTGTACTTCTTTAAAGGAGCAGAAAGCCTCATCTTTCTCCTGTGACATTGCCAGTAGTTTCGAACTGCTGACTTTTAGATTAGCATTCCAACTCATAACCATTACACTACTAGTGTTATTTCCTTTTTAAATATAAGTACTATTATTAAATCAATTTTATAGATGAGGAAAATGAAGCACAAATAAGTTATATAAGTTTTCTAGATGACATCACTGATAAGTAGTTCATTAAAAATTCAAACTCAGGTAACCTTATGTCCTACTCCATACTATAAACACTATAAATTGCCGCCTCTGAATATTTTATGCTTTCTCAACTTTTTATAGCATTTTTCTTATTAATTAAAATAACTATATTAAACAACATAATTCAATTTCAGATAAATTGGGATAAATTATATTATTTTTATATCCAAGTGAAATATAGTGACTGTGTAATAGGTCCATATGCAAAAAACAGGTCCTACCATAATTATTTTGTGGGATATTAAGAGGCATTATAAGTGTGAGAGTACCTGGAAGGTTCAAACAGTTAACACTCTCAATTGATAACAAAAAGGTTGGAGGTTCAAGTCTACCTGGAAGCATCTCAAAAATAAGACGCAACAATCTTCAGAAAATAGCAATCATTGAAAACCCTATGAAACACAGTTCGACTTTAATACAGATGGGGTTGCTATGAGTCAAAACTGATTCAATAGCAAGTAACTAATTATATAGAAGAAAGTGCTGTTTTCCTAATGGAATTCATACTTATTAGAAACAGATTTTCATCTGAAAATTAAAGTTTGGTGAATGTGATGAAAAGTGATAAAATGTTTTTAATTGCAAATATAATAAGCATATTTTTTTACAAATTGATATTATTATCCTCCTGTATTAATTCCTCTGACTAAATTGTAGAAGTAGAATTATTAAGTCAATATATCTAGACATTATTATTGTTTTGGATATGTTGCACAAAGTTGCCTCAATGACAATATTTACTCTAGATAAGGATATGCATTTGGAAGCCAGGGAAAGTGTCTTGACTGCTTCTTCTTAGCTCTGTGATCTTACTAATGTCTTCTCTCTTAAGATTCAGTTTTGTTACCTGTAAATAGGAATTTTAATCATAGCCATCTCATTATGTTATTTTGGAGATCAATGGTAAACATATCATTTAGTACTAGCCTAAGTATTCAGCTTGTATTTACAATGATTTTCCATGATCTTTCTTCATAGACGTCTAGATTATTATGTAATAATTCAAATTACTATAATTTTTAGCATTCTTTTGAATTGCTCATGGCAGTGATAATTTTCCAGTGTCTGTTTACTCTTAGTATAACTAACTTCTAGCAAAAAACTGTTTTAAAGATTCCTGAACTGCTCCTAAGGTGTCTCTCCAAAATCAAAATCATGTCTCTAGAGTTCTAAGCAAGCAAACACATACATTTACAGAAATTTTGTGGTGGGATAGAAAACCTAAGCAACATAACTTTAGGACACATATTTACCTCTCCAATAATTGGTGTAGTCCCATCTGACTCATTTACCCACACATGTTTTTCAGTTCCCCTGTCATATGTTTCATACGCTGCTCCATTGATACGTTTTCCTATGGAAATTGCAGGGTCCTGATAATAAAAAGAATAAGTGATGGAAAATCTATCAACTTACTAAATGTGCATTTACTACAAATGCATTAATATATAATGAACCATTACCAAGATGATGACATATTTCTGTCCGTGTTCATGCAGATCTTGAACAAATTCAGGGAGCCCTTTAAATGCAACTGCATCATAAGTAAAGTCTTTCTTGTCTTCCATATAGTCAATATCAGTGACCTGTGTATCCTAAAAAAATTAACAGAGTACAATTCAATAAATATATTAAAAACCTCTGTAATAACTTCAACCTTTAAGTCCAATTAGTTTCTTTTATATATATAATAAACAAAAGATAAAAGAACTTACATTTCTTGTTTTCCACTTAAGAGGTAATGGTATTATTTACAAAATTAGTTT